TTCAGCTTCTTCTGACTCCTATGCTGGGAGGCAGCCCCATGTGCTTGGGGCCCTGTCTTCTACATGGGAGATGGAGTTTAAATTCCTAACTTGAGGCTTTGGTTTGATCCAGCCATGCCTACTGTAGGCATTTGTAAGTGTATCAACAAATGGTAAGTCTCTCTCTTTCTCTTTACCTTTCAAATAAACAAATAAATAAAAATTTTAAACAGGAATTTTAATTCTGTTATTATGTATGCATTTCAGAGACTAACCTGAATATTATGTTAAACAAATTTTCCTAGGACAGTAGCTTTAACTGAAATCTGATATATTTTTTAAAAGCCAAATTTTAGATTAGATACAAAAAAATTTCTACACCTACTTCTAATTTCTCCCAAATGGCATATGAGTAAGTTTATGTGAATGTAAGTAAGTTTATGTGAATCTGAAGATTTCACCTTGCAGATAATCCAAGGGTACTGATTGTGTATTGGATCAAGGCACTCCATCCAAACCCATACTTTGATATTTTTTCATATGTCATATATCATGGCTCATAACTTTTGAAATATCTAATAAGTTTTTAGAATTCTATACTAGATAGAAGATAGCATTTCATTACACTGAGGGGGGAAATGAACTGGGATTGTACATTTTTCTTGTACTTAACATGTAAGCTGGCACTCTCAGAAAGGGACATGATTTGTTCCTAAATGTTATTTACCAGCATCGCTACCCTTGCATACACACAGCACACAGAAACACGAGTAAAGCACATCATTTGTTTCATATGGCAATAACTGTCAGAGTAGAAAATAAATCTTAGTAGCCGTACATGTTTTTAAAGTTTTGCACTGATTAACCAGAACTCTGGTTAAAATTAGTTTGTAATGGGCATATTTTTGCTTAAAACATTTACAGATTCAGAAAAGAAGAATGACTTGGGGGAAATAGCAGAAGGTTTGACACCTGAAGACTTGAGTTGAAAATCATTGCAATTTGCCACTTCCATGGTCTTCTAAGCCAGTTCTCTTTTCAAGTTCAGATTGCTAATCTATAGAATCCATGCATGATTGTTGCAAAGAGAAAATTGAGAGAATTTAAAGTACAGATGTGGGAGATAGAAAATAAATTTAGTAATAATACTTACTATTGATAATATCAAATAAAATGTACCATGAGTGAGATTTAATTAACTGAAAACAATTTTTAAGGATTTACCTTAGTTTTTTTGAAAGTTAGAGTGACATAGAGAGAGGGAAAGACAAGGAAAAAGACATCTTCCATCTGCTGATTCACTCAGTAAATGGTTCACTCCCCTCAATGGTTGGGCCAGGCCAAAGCTAAGAGCCTGGAACTCCATCCAAGTTTCCCATGTGGGGAGCAGGCAGGACCCAAGGACTTGGACCATCTTCTGCTGTTTTCTAAGGCACATTAGCAGGGAGCTGGACTGGAAGAAGAGCAGCCATGACTCGAACTGGGGTTCAACTGGAATGCAGGCTTTGCAGGTGGCAGCCTAACCTGTCACACCAAAATGCTGGCCCCTCAACTGAAATTTTTACTGACACATTTACTGGTATTTTAATTCCACTTAAATCACTTCACTGTCACTTGACATGTAGCATTTAGTAAAATTCATCTTTCTTTTCTTAAAAAATGAAATTCATTTTATAAAGGAGGTGATGCTCTTTCTACTAATACATATTTTTAAAAACTTGGCTGTGCTCACAATTCCTTTGGCCTGTCAGTTAGGGTTAGGTATGCTTGCTTTTAAGAAATAAAAGTGTTTTAGCAGTTCTGAGTGCTTTTATTTCTCTCATACTATCTTTTTATAGCTCTGTTACTAAAAACTCCTCAAACTGAAGTATAAGTCAGTTTTAAACATAATTTAATGACATTGTCATCTACTTTCAAAGTAAGTCAAACTAAAAATGTTTATATATATTTTATGCATGTGTGCAAATAATTCAGGGAAAATGAAATTAAAAGATAAGTTTCTGGGGTTGTGACACAGTCTCCTTCTGCAGCACCAGCATCCCAAAACACCAGTTCGTGTCCCAGCTGCTCCACTTCTGATCAAGCTCTCTGTGGCCTGGGAAGGCAGCAGAAGATGGCCCAAGTGCTTGGGCCTCTGCACTTGCATGGGAGACCGGGAAGAATCTCCTGGCTTCGGATCTGCCCATCTCCAGCCATTGCAGGCATTTGGGGAGTGAACCAGCAATGGAAGACCTCTCTCTCTGTAACTCTGCTTCTCAAGTAAATATATAAATCTTTAAAAAAAGTAAAAGTATAATCTGAAAAAGTACTTTTTCTATGTAATTTATTTTCAATAGCATTTATTTTAAATGCATGATAACTTCCTAATCTGAAGAAAGTAAGCCTACATTTGGAATATCTTTCTGAGCAGCCTTAGCTATAGAGAAATATGAAGAGAAATTTTGTTGTTAATCATTGTATACAAAATAAACTTGAATGTTTATAATTGCTACCTAGTGTAATTTAAATATATTGATATAATCACCTCTACCTCTCAAATAAATGTTTTTAAAAAAGATAAGTTTATGTCAGTGGGAAGAACGTTTAAAACTATATACACTTTTTAAATAATATGCAATTTTCATGAACTTTAAAGATTTCCAACATGCATAGCTTCAAAATTTTGTACCCCAAAATAAAATTACACTTTAATTCCATTTTCCATGAACCTTTTGAAATCCTCTCAGATTTATAGTTTAAATATTTTAAATGTTTTAAATTGAATCATCATTTATCACAGATGAATTTAGTTAAATGTATGCAAGTTTTTTGGTACATATATAAAAACACTTCTAGAATTTTGATCATCACTCACTAAAGAAATTTCAGAATCCTCTTTATTTAAAACTAATTTGTGTGGTGCAGAATGGGGAAATTGCTCTGACTTGTACAATTGGCCACGTTCCATGGGACATGTTCCCTGCACACAGGGAATTTCAAAGCTGAAAACTAAGATGACGACAAACAGCTCTTGAACTTCCGGAAAATTTAACAGCTGGCTACCTGAAGCCCCTATTAACCTGTTCCAGCACACTCAAGACTGCCACACTTTACTATTTAAAAAAAAAATCCTGGTGTTCAAAAGCTGTCATACAATGGTTCATAGTGAGAACACGTTAAGAGAGAAGTTTGATGAATCTAAGAGGATAGGATTACTTCTTTCACAAGTGATGCTAATGATCAGACACTAGTATTTAGAGTGGTATTCTTTTTTTATTTACATTTTAAGCTTTTATTTAGTGTGAAAGATACATAGGAGAGTGAGGGCTTTATTTATAGGAGAGAGATAGATCTGCATTCATACCAAGTACCAGGAACCAGCCACGTGGAAGATCATCCAGGCCAGGAAGCATAGTGCAGGTTGGCCCAAAGGCCATGTGCCCTGAAGGCACAGGGCTACAGCCAGCCCCCTACTGGCAAGAGGCCAGGGTGACAAAAAAGAATAAAAGGGGGGATAGACACACTGTGTCACAGATTTTTAATCCATTATCAAAGGGGAGTGGCTAATTAACCTGATTGGCCAGTGGGTGCTCAGATGTGGCCAGGTAGGGGCATGAGGTCACACAGGGGCGTGGCAAAGGCATGGTCTTCTAGCTCACAAGCCTAATCAATTTTAACCTGTATGCCTGTCTACTTCATTTCCCCCTCAGAGACTTCATCCCTTAATCCTAAGGGAAGTTGATAGGTATAGAATTATCTCTTCTGTAAATGCTTCCTGCTTATGGGGGCATAGTGCAGGCCCTGCCTATGGGTCTGGAATTCTCTGCATATCCTATCTAACAAATTCGCTTTGTGAGTGGGAGCAGTCTTGGTCATTGCCAATGTCTGTGTCCCCTGCATGGTCAGTTACTCCCAGAAGTTGAGTTCTGAAACATATAAGTTTGCTGATTAGCATAAACAAAACTGGAACAAAACCAATTATAAGTGGGGTGCCCCTTAAGATGAAAACAATGTATTTTCAGATTCCCAGATAGTGGGTAGTGATAGGTTACCCTTATGTAGATTATAACCCATTTAGCTTGAGTATAGAGAAATATAATAGAAATAACTCATTAGGTAGCTTTATTACCAATAACAGTTCCCAGAGATAATGAAGAAATGCAGGTACAGCATTTTTGCCTTAAGGTACAGCAGTCTTGATGTGACAAAGGCAAAACTTTACTTATCCTTATTGCTTTGAAGAGGTACTAAGGTCTCTGATTGGCTTACAGGAATAATCAAGCATGTCTTTTGCATTCACCTGTGAATATTTAAGAGGCAGAAGTTTAATCCTAATTTAATGGAGGCAGTCATGCTCAATATCACCTGGTAAGATTCCTTTCATTTAAGCTGAAACTGATCTGAAGAGAATCTTCTTATGAATGGTTTGCTCAGGAATTGTTAATGTTGGAGTTTTTGTTAAAAACTCCTTGATTCCTTGGAACAGCTTTTGTAGCTCCCATGCCCAGCACATTGTGTCTATGTCAGAGGCTTTTTAAGCAAACACACAGCTTAGAATCCAAATCCTGGAATCCATAACAACTTTTGTTGCTATATTTTTCAGTACAGAGTCTGCATCAGGGCCTCTTTAAAGCTGTATACAAAAGCTTGGAATTCAAATCTTGGAATCCAAATTCCATAGAATCCTGTCATCAGCAATTCCCAATACCTGAGCTTTTAGTTAGATGCTCCTTAGTTCTCTGGAACAACTTTAGCAGCTACACTTTTCAGTACAGAGTCTGCATCAGGGCCTCTTTAAAGCTATATACAAAAGCTTGGAATTCAAATCTTGGAATCCAAATTCCATAGAATCCTGTCATCAGCAGTTCCCAATACCTGAGCTTTTAGTTAGACGCTCCTTAGTTCTCTGGAACAACTTTAGCAGCTACACTTTTCAGTACAGAGTCTGCATCAGGGCCTCTTTAAAGCTATATACAAAAGCTTGGAATTCAAATCTTGGAATCCAAATTCCATAGAATCCTGTCATCAGCAGTTCCCAATACCTGAGCTTTTAGTTAGACGCTCCTTAGTTCTCTGGAACAACTTTAGCAGCTACACTTTTCAGTACAGAGTCTGCATCAGGGCCTCTTTAAAGCTATATACAAAAGCTTGGAATTCAAATCTTGGAATCCAAATTCCACAGAATTTTGTCATTCTCAGAAATTTCCTCAGCTGCCTTTAAATAGCTGACCCTATGTTAAAACATATGAGATAGAAATTTCACAGAGAGACTTGTATCCAAGATTTTACATTTGAGGCACTTAATAAACTTTAAATAAATACCTAAGAATACAGGCAATGGAGCCTGACACTTAGCCACAACTAGAACTTATGATGCATAATATCACACAATAGCACAAAGTAAATTTTTGGAGTTAAGTTTTACCATTAATGTTAATACTGTAGCTCTTTTGAGAATAGAGGTCCTACATGGGAAGTTAGTACACAGTGACTCCTGTTGTTAATTTAACAATTAACACTCTTATGTGTGACATCAGTGATCACCCGAGGCTCTTGACATAAGCTGCCTAGGCCATGGAAGCCTTTTGAGTTCCACAAACTCCATCAGTATTCAGACAAGGCCATAAGCAAAGTGGAAGTCCTCTCCTCCCTCTGGAGAAAAGTACATTCTACTTTGATGACCACTCCTTTCCACTGGGGTCTCACCCAGGGAGGTTCTCCACATAGGGACACTTTTTCCACGAGTGCCCTGGGTTTCCATGCCTGAAATGCTCTTGTGGGCTTTCTAGCCAGACCAGAATGCCTTTAGGGGTGATTTTGAGATCACTGAGTGTTACTTAAGACTGCCACTCTATGAGTCTGCTGTAAGGACTCCCTCCCATATTGGAGCATTCACTCCTCTTTAATTTTATTTACTATTAGCAGTTAATACTTAATCCTATAGACAGGATCACTTTAAAACTTAAGATGTTAAAATTACCATCTAGCCCAAGGGGATTTGCGATCCCATATCAAGTTTTAAACTGTACCCTTAGAAGTAAGTCTGTAGGAATGTATGCAGAGCTATATAGCTTTATAGTCTCTGTAGGAACTGAGAAAATAAAAACAGACACAAGTCTTCATGGGCTTAATTATTCTTAGCATTTTACATGGATACATTGCATTAGCTATAATTTCTTAATCCCATCTAGTCGAAGGGCCTCCCAATTATTAAGTGTGGATCTGTCATGGAGTCTCCAAAGGAGCAGATGTAGAACTATCCATAGCTAAATCACCTTGTGGGGCCAGTGCTGTGGTGCACTAGGCTAATCCTCTGCCTGCAGAGCCAGCATCCCATATGGACACCGGGTTCTAGTCCTGGTTGCTCATCTTCCAGTACAGCTCTCTGCTGTGGCCCAGAAAAAGCAGTGGAGGATGGCCCGGGTGCTTGGGCCCTTGCACCGCATGGGAGACCAGGAGGAGGCACCTGACTGCTGGCTTTGGATCAGCGTAGCTCCAGCTGTTGTGGCCATTTGGGAGGTGAACCAATGGATGGAAGACCATTCTGTCTGTCTCTCTCTCTCACTGTCTGTAACTCTACCTGTCAAATAAATAAATAAATCTTTTAAAATCACCTTGTAACCTGGGGAGACAGGAGGTAAATAGGGCTAAGCTTTGGCCCAGTTATATCTCTGATCATCTACCTTAATAGGTAATCTGACATCTCAGAGCTACTATACCTATTATAGAGCTTAATGTATAAAATCACACTCAGAGGGAAAAATAAAGAAATAACGTAGTAAAATCTCATTCAGAGGTGAAAATAACAAACTAACATAATAAAATCCAGCTCAGAGGTGAAAGTAACAAGCTAACATAATAAAACATGATTTAATATACATTGCTCTATTAATCAGGCATGTAGCATGTGGTTGGTCATGGGGGCCACCACCTTGGGGTGGAGTCTGTTGCCCATCTTACTGTGAGGGTGGAAGTTCCCATGGTGGGTCACCATCTTGGGGCATAAGTCCCACCCTCCACATAGAGTGGTATTCTAAAGTTCATCTGTAATGCTCAGAACATTTTTCTGATTCATTATTTATACTTCTTGCTGTGTTGATCTGACAAAGAATCCATTGAAATATATAAATTGCTCTGCTGAAGCCATGGTGTACAAAGAAAATCCTCAGCACTGTTGTACATAGTGAAATATATTTCTTTTCAATCATATGTAACACAAGTGTACATGCATTAACAATTGCTACTCATAGATTATTGGGATATCCAGCAATGATCACCACATCCAAATGTTTTGTTCTTCAAATTAAATAATAGATATGTCCATCCCAAAGCACAGAAAAAAATTACAGCACAAAGAGCTTCCCTTTGGGATCTCAATATTAGAATGTAAAAGTAGAGAAATGGTTTCACACCAGTGGGAAAAAACTGCACATTTCTCCTGATTGTAAGAACATGTTTTCTTTCAGGATAGATATTGGAATCATTTATAATAATTCTACACTGGTGTTACTTGAGGGATTGGCAACTCAGCTTTGGAAGTAATAGAGAATCCAAATTGGCAAGACTCAACTCAAAAGAAGCCTTGCTCAAATCTCACTTGACCACACTTTGAAGCACTGTACAATGTAGCTGAAGCGTACAAGTACCTGCTCTCTAGAAAAGAGCTGACTTACACGGGGTAAACAGAAGGGAAGTTGCCACAGGAATACACAAACACATCTCGTCTTCTGGGTAGTGTGCATGGGTATTTTTTGAGTAGTCAAGTTTTGTGTGTTTCTACACATGTACTTTGGCATTCCTAAAGATAAGTTTTCCTACTTTATACCTAATATTAATTACAATATCAAGGGGAATCTTCCCTACATGGGCACTTACTGCAAAACATTAAATGTGAATAAGAATGTTTTTATGATTAAACTCCCCGTTAGTAGCCACACAGCATAATTAATCTGCCCTGCAGCTCTATTGTGTGGTGATAGCTATGGGAATGAAAATGGCAACAGCCTTGTCATTTTGTTTGCTACCTAACAGTTGTAATCCCTCTATTTTCTATATATTGCCAGCTTCATAGATTCCTTAAATGGACAAATGTGATAATATCCAGGAAATCACTTTACAAGCTGTCCCATAAATAAATATGGAACTTCATCTGAGAAGTGTCTATGGCATATGGAAACATACTTTCACAACACGGTTGTACTTTATTCCAACTCTTATATCAGATGAAGTGACATCCATTCTCTATTCTCATCTCTCTCATATACTTACACAACCACTCCTTCTACTCTGGAATATACTATCCCTCAATTGAGGGAGAGGCTCCTCTACAACACAGAAGACTTAAGTGTGAGGAGGTATGTCAAACTTGGTAAAGTTCATGCCAGTGAAGGCCTGGAGTGTTAGAGATACTGTTCCTTACTTGATTATATTTTAATGCCTTTATTTTGAAAGAGCTCTGTTATATACTTAGTTATTAAACAATGTCATATGAAAAAAGAGTACTGCATGGAATATAAGGTTTCTATAATGAAGATTTGTATAATTCAAAATTATATCTAATGACAAATTTGGCAAGATCACCAGGATTTTTCACTGAAAAAAGTCACACTGACATACAACTATAGTCCAGAGTATCAAAAAATGATGAACGAGTTAGCAAATCTGTGTCCATCCTTCCTTTTGAAGGTAGTAATTTATTTCAATGGCATTTTCTCTTTATATTCCATTATTCTCAATTACTGTATTCACTGTGTTCAAGTGCTTACTTCAAAATGTATTTGCCACATTAAATGAAATTCTTATATAGTATTATCCACATATCCAGTGGGTTTAAATGCATATGCATTGAAAAATAAATAGAGCACATGTATTTATCACAATAAATAAATCATAGGTAAAGCTTACACTTTAATATTCACAAATAAAACTCCATATTTTGGGGGAAAGCTTTAATATAGGTATTTAATTTGTTCTAAGAAAAAAGTTTTTTTTTCAAATTAGGAGAAACATTGAGATTTCTGTTCAGAAAAATGAATAATCATGCAATTCTCATAAATCTTTAACACTCAAACATACAGAGTGGGTGTTAGAAGAACATTCTCAATGATAATATTTACCTATAATGTAAGTGCCTCATGAGCTCATCAGGACAGTGTCTCAAAGACATCCCGTACTTTCAAGATTAAATGGTGAGGCTGGCACCGTGGCTCAATAGGCTAATCCTCCTCCTGCGGCGCTGGCACCCCTGGTTCTAGTCCTGGTTGGGGCACCGGGTTCTAGTCCCAGTTGCTCCTCTTCCAGTCCAGCTCTCTGCTGTGGCCCAGGAACACAGCGGAGGATGGCCCAAGTGCTTGGGCCCTGCACCTGCATGGGAGACCAGGAGGAAGCACCTGGCTCCTGGGTTTGGATCAGCACAGTACCCGGCTGGAGCAGCCAATTGGGGGGGGGGGTGAACCAATGGAAGTTAGACCTTTCTCTCTGTCTCTCTCTCACTTGCTAACTCTGCCTGTCAAAAATTAAAAAAAAAAAATTAAATGGTAAGATAGTCCAGACATGCAGTTCAAAAACAGATTTTAGTAAATTCTACAGCTAAGCTCAAAAGGCAAGGGTCTACTTTGATGGTACTATTTCTTTGTCTCCTCATGTTACACTATTTCCTTTCCTTAGCAATCTTACATACTCATGGAAATTCTCAAGGATCATATTCTAGGTTCCAAAAGGTAAAGAGAGGAAGCTCAATTTTATGGAACATGAAACTAAAGCTTCTGTGAACAGTCCCTACATATTAGCGGAACTTTCTAACTGTAGGAGCCAACAACAACAAGTTATGAAAAATTTCATTACAGCAACTTTCCCAAAATGTCTAGAATGTAAATTTCTCATTTTAAGAGATAACCATTTAATACAACATAAGACTTTGAAATTTTAATCAACTTTAAGAAAATAATCAATTTTCCTAGGATTACCATGAGTGCATTAGCTCATCTTATAAAGAAATGACTTCAGAATTCTTTTATTTTTGAACTTATCATTTTACAAACTGTTTTGAAGGGCTCATAAGACAAACTGAACTAATGGAAGCAGAATAATATCAGAAGAATGTCTTTTACTCACTTGTTGAAGTAAGGGAATCTAGTCTTCAAAATTATGACTATTACTTTGTTGAT